ACTAATTACTAAATCATTTTGTTCATAATCTTCTAATAAATTGTATTCTGGTGTTAAATCAATTAAAGACATGTTTTAAATTGTATTTTGAGATATAATAATGTTGATTTAATAAATTTTTTATTTGATTTATAAAGTTTATTCATTTTAAACCCTACAAAAAGTTTAGATGCTTAAAATGTATTTAAAGCATGCTTAAATTCTACTTGAAGGTGCTTAAAATGTGCTTAAAACGTACCTTTTTTAATAATGAACAAAATTAAGTATGTTTTAAGTAACCTTTTAAGTGTATTTTAAGTATATTTCGAGTATGCTAGTTTACCATCAAAATTATGTTTTAAGTATATTTTAAGTGTGTTTTGAGTATAATTTCATATACTTAAAACATACTTAAAATTCACTTAAAATGTTCTTGTTCTCTTTCATCAGTAAATTTTAAGTATATGGTGTATATTTTAAGTGCATTTTAAGTATCTAAACTTTGTGTAGGGAAAGCAAAAAGTTTTTATTTTTTAGATAATTAATTTATTTCTAAATTTGGATAAATGAGTTTTTAAAAATAGATCAAATTTTCGGGGGTCAATTTTCCTTTTTCTGTGTAGCAAATTTTGATTTTGTATTTACACAAAATGAGTTATTTACCTCAGAGGTGGTTTTTGCTGTAGACAGTCCCATTTGTGGAATATTCCAATTCATATAAATTGATAGTGCACAAAAGTTGAAAACAATTGCAGATGCAATTGCATCTCTATGTCCAAGGCTCTAGTAAACAACAATGATGATAATAATATTAGATAATAATAAAACTAACTTTTTTTGATCATTATAATGTATACATGATGTGATATATACTGACCTTAACTTTAGGCAATAAATATTCAAACAAATCAAGTTTTCTTTGTAAAGTTCTTTCCCAATCAGAGGATGAATGCATTGTGGTTGAAATAATAGGTTTACTACTACTATTGTTATTTGATGGTGGCATAGTCCAGGGTTGGCAAATGTGCAGTCCATTGATGGTCTATTGATGGTCTATTGGGTCCATTAGTGTAACACTTTAACCATATTTAGTATTTCATTAATGGCAATGGACCAATCCAAAATCCATTTATTCTCAATGGACCAGTCAATTTGCCAACCCTGGCATAGTCATAACAGGTATTGAAGGTAATGATTGTATTGATGAATTAACAGGTGTTGCTATTGATGATAATGATGACGAACCAGTTAATGATTGTGTTAAAGATGGTAGAGGATATGTTGATGCTATTGATCCTGTGGAGTTGCATATTGGTATGAAGCCATAGTTAATAATAATAGTTATATATCATTCTTATAAAAATTAATAAAATCAATTATTAGTCAATTATTAACTGATTGTATTTTACCATTTACTAAAAAAGAAAAAAGAAACTATTTTAGATCAAAAATTAATTATTTTATCAAACCTCCTAAGCCTTTATAAAACTCTGTCACTTGTTTATGAGCAGCTACCTTGTCTACATCGAAATTCAAAACTTGTAAAGAAGTTAGTGTTTTAGATCTAGATAAAGCAACATATACTTGTCCTATTTTGCAATTATATTAAATGTTGTCTATTAAATTGATAATGATTTTTAAAAAAACTTATTAATAATGATAAATATAAACCCTTTTCAAAGACTCTTTTAAGATTAATTTTTGCCCTTTCTAGTTTCTGACCCTGACTTTTATGTATACTAATAGCCCAAGCTAATATTAGTGGTACCTATCATTTATTACATTAAACAATTAATAAAGAAGCTAGAAGTTGTCAGTTATGTTTAAAATACTTAGACTGAATTTGGTTCATTTTTATAAATATGTATGTATGTATATTTACATTTATAGATCAGTTATTTGACTATTTCTATAGTATTTTTGTCCTACTGTATATAGTGGGACGATTTGGTGGACTTTTTTATATTATGAAATTTACCCCGGGACGATTTGGTAGACAATGTAAAGAGCATATAGAAAAAATAAAAAAAAAATTTCTTAAAAAAAAAAATGATATATTTACTATATGGTGAATTTAATCTACTTTTTGCATCGTACTATGTTAAAAAAATGAATCAGCACTAATGCAATAAAAAATTATTGCGTGTAACAATAAAAATGGGGTATGTAGATCGCGCACAAATTAAGCCTACAATTCTCCATTTTTTTTATTAATATTAAGCAAACTGGGTTTGCCAATTATTATAATCTTTATGTTATAGATTAATATTATGTAAAAAACACTAATTTGATCAGATGGGTTGAAGGGTGTTTTTGCTAGAAAAGCTCCCATATTAAATTATTCCCCCCCTGAATAAAAATTTATAATACACGTAATAAATATATTATTAGTAAAAAAATTTCTATTAAAAAAAGTAACGTATCTTCTATTCTTATGAAGAACTAATTATTATTTATTATTATTCAAAGAATGTTGCTAACAAAAGTGTACAACAAAAAAATTTGATATTAAATATTGTTCTTAAAAAATTTTGTTTTTCATTTTCAATTAATATTTATATAACTGAATTAATATACATTAAAAGAAAATTTAAATCCACCAAATAATATACAAAAAATTTTGTTATTGAAATGATAATAAAAATTATTAATTAATTAAATAGTTGAAATTAAGAGAGATAATAATGTTCGTGTGTATGTGCAGTTTTTATTCTCATTCTACAACATCCGGCGCTGTATAATAATCTTCAAAATTAGTTACTTGTAGATCTTCAAAAGTTACTGAACGTTCTTTAATTTTTAATGTTGAATTATCAATATTAGTCATAAATAAATTCTCACTGCCAGTACCACAACCACCACCAACAGCAGCACCACTACTACCACTGCTATTATTACTATTCTCACTACTACTACTGACACCACCAACAATGATATCATCGCCGTTACTATTATCATTTTCCTCTCCCCCAACGAAATCGCCTGTAATGTTATATACATCCTTTGAACTTGGATACCTAAAGGCTAATAATTCAGAATTTGGATCCTTATAACCAATTACCATAGAAGATATATTTCCCCAACTTTTTTCTTTGCGAATTTCATCTTGACTATGGTTATCTTTATTAAAATTATGAAAAGTTCCTATTTTTCTTAATAAAGATGAAATTGAATGCTCTCTTGAATGATTACCAGATTTACGTCCAGGTGAAACAAAAGATATACCACTATCACGATTTTCTGACACAGATTTATAAGCATCAATTTCAGATTTTTCATGGTTAGGTGAAGACGGTGTTGAATTTAACAAAGGTGATGAATTGTGTGGTGCATTACAAGTCATTGGTGTTGAAGGCGGAAATGGAGAATTTTGTAATGAGGTATAAGTTGGATTATTATGAATAGATGAAGTAGGACTATTTTGTTGTAAATAAAAAGTATTCGTCGTATCACCGCTATTGTTTCTTTGATGTGGCGGTTTAGGATTCGCCGAAATAAATATATTTTTAAGGGGTGCTTTTTGCTTTGACGATGACATTTTTGATCTAACTGTTGATTGTGATGGTGAAGGAGGTACTGATGGTTCTACACGCAACGATTGAAAATCTTTATCATAATGATAAGAGTTGGAGCTTTTATGATTGCCATTATCATCATCATCATCATCATCATCATCATCATCATCATCATCAGCGTCACCATTATCATCATCATCATCATCATCTTTTAATGAATTATCTTTTTTTAATGTAATTTTTTTTGCTGTTTCTTTGAAAATAAATTTTAAACGTTGTGATCTTTTTTTACTTTTAATTAAAGAATCTAAAAGTGTTGGTATTTCTTCTACTGTATTTGGTGAAGCTTTATAAGAATTATCTGCCAATGTGTAGGAATTATTGTCCTCATTTTCAATTGTTAAAGGTAATGATATATGATTTGGTATAAGCGGTATTGAATTTATATTTATAATTTCCGGTATAACAGAAGGGGTGTTTTCAGGTAATAGCGAATTAAATTTTTCCTGAGCTACTTCAGCTTCTTTACGAAGTTGAGCCTCGAGAGTAACTAATTGTTTTTGAAGATCCACATAACCAAGTACTAAGTTTGCTTTTGTTTCCTTTGCAGAAGGCATCTAAAAATTTTATTTATTTATTCGAAAAAAATAATTAACGATTGACCAAATAAAGAAACTTTATTTTTGTTTTTTGATTTGATTTAAATAAATATTATTATTATTTCTTATATTATTATTATATATTTATATTATCAAACGCATATATAACATACCATTCCTATGTGAAGTTTTAAATTTTCTTCAGATAAAAGACTTGTGTAATTTTTTTGATTACTTATGTTGCTTTTTCCATTTTTTTGTTGACGTGATTGTATAAAAATAGTTGAAACAGTGAGGTTTTGATTTGTCATTATTACTACTGAATTGGTGAGATTTTTTTGAAGCTTCTTAAATATAACAAAGTGACGAAAAAAAAAATTAATTTTTTTAATTTTTAATTTGGAAAATAACACATATTATGACTCTGCAGCATTGTTTTATAGTAACACAAGTACATTAATGATAAAAAGGAGACGCACATGCAATACAAGGGGAAAAAAAATCTTATTTTAAAGGGGCATTGTAATAACCTTTTATTGCACAAAATTAATTCTTTACATTTTGAATCACAAGTCCTACCTACACAACTTACAATAAGATGTCTCAAGCAAATGATTATATTTCTTCTTTACACCATAAAGATTTAATTGAGAAAGATAAAAGAATACGTTTAGCCTGATTCCAAGATATATATATGTAAAGAAGAAAAATAAAATATTTAGCCAACATTCAAGAAGTTTTAAGTAGTAGCATTAATCAAGAAAAAGTCCAAGAATTAAAGGGAAAGGAAATATTAGTCAATGAAATTAAGGAGTACCAAGAAAAATGTGAATTATATTTAGCTACTAAGCCTATATCAAGTTTTCCTAGGAGAAAATAAATTAAAAAAAGCAAACCAACAAACCAAGGCAATATTAATAACAGTCGCAGGACATTGCAGATCATAATCGGTACACAAATAATTTTCAATCATAATAAAATTTTTAGAGCCAGACTAGGGCTTCCTAACGGCCATTAAAATAGGAGTCTAGCTTATTTATTTGTTATTCTACACTAGGCTGCAAGGGTTACTTTTTTTCACTTTTACTTTAAGATTTTTTTCCAACTAACACCAGAATAAAGCAAACTCAACAGTAATAGTTGTGTCAAAGTGTTCCTTACAAAGTCGTTTATAATCACTCAGAAGGTTGTATTAGAAAAATTTTGACTTTTATTATAGAAATTGATTCATAATTATTTATTTCAAAAATAATATTAATAATGAGTCCAAAATTTTATTATCTATTAATATGTAAAGGAAATATATATATTCAAAAAAAAGGATCAAAAATTTTTTTATCAAAAGATTCAGTGTACCATATTTTAATTACCAGAGGATAATTTAGAAGAAAAATAACTAACCACAATAATAAATCATATATACGACTAGAAACAAATGTAGGGAGGATCTATCATCACTATCTTTTTATTTAGTTAATCACTATCCACACATACACATCATTATGTATATTAATAGTTATGTATAAAATATCCAATCTTTGTCACTTCACATTTGTTTCCTCCTTTTCCTGATATCATTATAATCATTCCTATCATCATAGCATAGTGGACATTTGATTTCATTGGCTAAATTATGTGACGATCTCCCTTCCAGATATCACGCAAAAATTAAAT